GGCAGCTGGATGCAATAATTGCATGCCAATGTGCATTGGCTCGTTTAGTTTACACTCGAAGTAGATTGGTCTATCGAAGCAATATCCCAATTCGTCGGTTACGACGTGACTCGTAGTGACCGACTGAAAGGGAACTGATTTGCAAATTAGACTGATTTATCACCTCCAAAAGTTTTTCTCCATCCACTTGTGTAAAACACTCCTTGCTGACAGACTCACTCTGAGTCAGTACCAAACAGCTGTTGTTCATCAAAGAGACGAGTTTTGTGAGCTCTGGAGATGCCTACACAAAAAAAGAGAGTTCAGATGTCTGGATCATTATGCATTGCTGTCATATTTTGTATCAGTAGCCTAGTAAAAGTTATGTAATACCTGGGATGCTTTGCTCTCATTTAATAATCTGTCGCACTTAAGCTCTGAAAAACAAAACAAATATAACTAAGCAATATCACACGAGAAATGGTATATGGCTGTGATTAAGTGATCACATCTGATATTCAGACCAATAGCACAGATCGAGTTTGTTTGCAAAACAAATCATTAAACAAGAATCAATAATATTACACTCAAACAATTGGTAACCTAACATGGTAACAAGTCAACAATATTGGGCTACTGTTTGGTGCAAACACAGGCAACCGTTGTGTGCTCTGAATTATGGGAAAGTATGAGATATAAGAGGTATTTAACCAAAATGAACTTTCTAGAGAACTCTGACCTGTGCATTTCATTTGTTTGTGACCATAGTTAGTGAATCCTGAACTGCACACACATTCAAGGCCGTCTTTGTTGTTTTTGCAGACTCCTCCTCCACATATAGATTTATCAATCTCACATACACCTTCAACAACATCAGAACAGCATTTTGGAGAAGGATCTCACATTTCTCAAAAATAAACTGAAACTTCAGTGTGTCAAAATGTGAATTTGAACAGTTTTAAAGGACTTACTCTCACAGAGTTTATTTGTATCAGTGAAGTTAGTTTCTCCTGACTTTAGTCTGAATCCTGCAGCACAGATACAGTAGAAACTGCCAGCAGTGTTATGACATGTTGCATGTTTTCCACAAAAACTGGGATCGTCACATTCATTTCTGTCTGCAATTTAGGAACAGACAATAAACAAAAACATGCCAACTGAAAACTCTCACATAGACTGCGTGTTACACAAAATATGACCAAAACTGTCTAGGCTCCAAAAGTTTCTTACCAATACCCTTGGGAAAAAGACGTACACCTAAGCACACTTTTATAAAGTGTATATATTACACAAATAATATACTTTAAAATAATACACTTAAGTGTGAATGAAATGTAATGTTTTTGAAAACCTTAATTACATTTTTTATTTGTAATTGATTTCAAATGCATTTTTGCTCAGACTGATAGTATGTGCATTAGTGCTGCAAATAACACAGGCAACTGTTGTGTGCTATGAATTATGGGAAAGCATGAAATTGAAGAGATATTCAGGAACCAAAATAATCAGGTTCTCATGTTCACAAATGTTTGATTTTAAAGACATTTTTGTTTACTTGCAATTTTTATTTAAGTGCAATATTGCTTCAGTGTTTGGCCACCACTTGGTGTCCAATGTCAGATCTGGTTCTTGAAGCAAAACTAGCTGAGAAGCACTTGTTCAGGGAACTTTGACCTGTGTATTTCGTTCGTTTGTGACCATAGTTAGTGGATCCTGAACTGCACAGACATTCAAGGCCGTCTTTGTTGTTTTTGCAGACTCCTCCTCCACATATAGATTTATCAATCTCACATACACCTTCAACAACATCAGAACAACATTTTAAAGAAAAATCTTACATTTCTCAATAAATAAATACATTTCAGTGTGTCAAAATGTGAACATGAACCGTTTTAAAGGACCTACTCGCGCAGGATTTATATATATCAGTGAAGTTAGTTTCTCCTGACTTTAGTCTGAATCCTGCAGCACAGATACAGTAGAAACTGCCAGCAGTGTTATGACATGTTGCATGTTTTCCACAAAAACTGGAATCGTCACATTCATTTCTGTCTGTAATTTAGGGACAGATAATAAACAAAAACATGGCAACTGAAAACTCTCACATTAGGCTGCAAGCAAATAGATGGCCCAAAAATATCTAGGCTAAAATAGTGTCCTGAATTAAATATCTCTTTTCCATTGCTGGAAATGTAGCCAGTTTGACGTGTGCAATTATAACCTCCTTCAGAATTTATACATTTTGCATTAGGACCACAATCAGCGCTGCCATTCGCACATTCATTGATGTCTGAAATGAGAGGAACTGCTGCACAAAGTTCATATGAGATTCATCAAATCAAGCTCTCTTTACCTGTGCAGTCAATTGCATCCGCTTGTGTGAAATTATTAGTTGGAGTGAATCCTTCATGACAGCGGCAGTAGTAGCTTCCAATAGTATTGAAACATTTTGCATTTTTTCCACAAATGGGTGCTTCATACTCACACTCATTTTCATCTATAGAAATGACAGTAAAAGTTTGAATAGCCACAGCACTTTTTCTTGATTTTTATCTACAATTCATTAATGAGTGTTGTTTCATAAATGTGTCCCATGTCTGCAGTAGAATTTCCATCTATTCAATAATATATAACATCAACAGAGCTTGATTATTATTATTATGTGTGTGTGTGTGTGTGTCCAGTATAAATGCTGGCATGTACAACCCAAGTAAAATCCTTTTAAGCCCTGACACAAGAGTTGTCAACACAAAAAAGTCGTTTAAGAAATGTATGAATGTATTATATATATTGGCTTTTTTATTATTCATACCTACACACTTTCTTCTTTGATTCTTATATCCATGTCCACAGGGTGTTTGCATCAGGATGTTCTCTGTCAATGCTAGAAGACCTGTAAGCAGAAAATAAAGAGTCTGTTACTGCAGGTTTCATGTCTTTGGTGTAGTTTGATGCGCATATAGTGAGATCCATAACTCTGAGACCAAATTGATAATCTGGGATTTTTTACGTAAACCTGAAAACATGCAAATACATTTGGGAATTATCAAAGTCAAATCATAGACATTCAAAAATTCGTGTTAATTTTCAATTTGACTTTTCAGGTTTCAAGTATTCATGTTATGAAAGTGTTTGTCTTTAAAAAAAATCATATTTATAGAAGCATTTTCAATAGTGGTTTCAGACTATTGGACATCACTGTATATAAACTTTGTTTAAAAACAATAGTACCATTGATTATTTTGCTGTCATGCAATGTCAGATGTTTTGACCCAACCTAATCTTATAGGTAAGACATGCTAAAATTACCCAAAATGATTTATCGCCTATAATGGCTAAACTGGCATTCAGTTTACTAGGAGTAACAGTCTTAGAAGACAAAGTTGGAAGAAGAATAATTATATTCAGCTAATTCTATTTCCACTCATTGTTCATGACAGTTGCATTGAAATGATGGCCAGTCAGGAAGTACACAGCTCGAGAGCTATGGGTGGGGTGCTGTGCAGCAACAGATTTAACTTACAGAACCAGCGTACAGATCAACACACTGTCACATGCTCTGACCACAGGCTGGGTCAGCTAGAAGACTGTTCAAAAGTGCTGTAAGGCTTTTACAACCACATTGGAGACTCAGCCGTAACCTAAGGTGTGGTCTTGCTTATTATTTTGTAAACAAGCATCAGGCAAACAATATTTTTATGATTTTCTTATTCTTTTTAGTCTAACAGTAAAGTTTATGGAACATTTTTCCCCTCTTCAGCCTTTCCTTGGTTTAATGTCATCGTCCCATCAGCCTGGGCCCCTCAGCTGTGGACACATGAAAACACCTGGGATTTCCTGTCCTGATTAGTTTTCCGCCAATGTTTTCCACTGTCAAAATCATAGCCATGTAACTTCAAGCTTTAAAGGGATAGTTCACCCCAAAATGAAAAATCTGTCATAATTTGCTCACCCTCGTGTCATTTCAAACCCTCCTTCTTCTGTGGTTCATCAAAAAGGATGTTTTGAAAAAAAATTTTTGTCAATGGTTATCAAAACGGTTCTGTTACCAACATTTTTCAAAATAACTTCTTTTGAGTTCCCCAGAAGAAATGAAGTCATAAAGATTTGAAACAATGAGTAAACGATGACAGAATTAATTTTTTTTTTCTGTGAACTAACTCTTTAACTTTGAGCTAAACAACACCCAGTTTCACCTGTCATTTCCCCACAATATCACATGAACTCACAATATTGTGATTTTACTGTTTTACTATTGCAGTGTCTTTGAAGGTTCATGATGACAGTGTTTGCATCTAAAGCAGTCGTCGCTTGTATCGCAACAGTCTCTTTCCCCAAATCACGTAGTATTATCTACTCATAACTCTGTCATTTTGCTTCACGGTTGTTTCCCAAACACTTAAACAGAATGTCTTAAGACTATGAGCTCTGAGAAGACAAATGGATTTTGTGACATCAGTTTTTCCTATCTGTGGCAGTTTCCTTTCATGCCCATTTACTGTTTCTTTATTTTTGAAACTGCAACAATTACGCAGTTGTTGGCAGGGCAACGTTTCAGTAAGCAAAACCACACAGTGGCTCCATACAAACATCTGTCTCTACATTAATCAGTGGAAACTTCAATCCTGAACAAATCTGAAGCATGACTCACCCAGACTCAGCAGATACATGTGCCTCATGGTCAAAGAGTGAAAGAGACTTGCAAAATGAAAAATAAATAATGAAAACGGCTTATGTTTTGATCCTGAGCAATTCCATACAAGTTTTTGAGGCTCTTTAAAAGTTGTCTTTCTTCAGGCTCCTCTCCAACTATCTTTGGTTTCTATGCAAGGGTAGTACCGTCACTCCTCACTTTTCCCTTACCGTCCAGAATAAAAGTGAGGCAACTTTTATATTTGAATGCCTCCTTTCTTAGTCTTGTTCTCAGACTAGGTCTTGTCTCTCTTTCACTGACTCTAAAGCTGAAAAAGCCTGAAGTGACTGAAAGAGTTCTGTCAGTGCAGTCCAGCTCCCTGCTCTGGATGACACTGAGAGGGAGGGACTGGGGAAAAAAAAAGTTGCAAGCTGATGTAAAAATAAAATAAAATGAAATTTGGCTTTATGATGTCATTGTATTGTTGAGTAACTCCAAGAGTTTCTTGGATGTTAATCTGTTCACAGAATCTTTTCTATTTCATTAAGAAGCATTTAAAAAAAATGCTGCTGTTTTTCTCTCTTCTTGTTCTTTTTTTTCCCCAGTGTGTTTCGCTGAACCCAGTTCAGTTATTAAGTTGGCTTGTGAAAGCCAACTTACTGAAATGCTATTTAAAGGGGTCATATGATGCGATTTCAAGTTTTCCTTTCTCTTTGGAGTGTTACAAGCTGATTGTGCATAGATAAGATCCCTGAAGTTGCAAAGACTAAAGTCTCAAAACCAAAGAGATATTCTTTATCAAAGTTAAGAGTCTGCCACACCCCCCCTAAAATGGCTCGTTCTAACACGCCCCCACATATCTACCTCACTATGTGGAAATATTTGCATAATGCCGCCCAAATGTGCACACAAAGAAAGAAGGTGTGGTTTCAGTAACCGCAGTTAGTGTTGAAGCAGCATGTCAGGGAGACGCTGTGTGTTTCAATGCGAAAGCAAAAGCACTTTATTTGGCCTTCCGAAAGTAGATGCATTTAGGAATCTTTAAGATTACTTACAACAGAACAGCAATG